CGCAGTCCCTGCTCTCAGAGACTGCAGCCTGGGGAAGGCTACCACCAAGTAAACAGGAAGTGACAACACAATGTGCTAAGTACTCTTGCACAGGAAAGTGCAAGGTGCCCTGTGATGCTGCAGAGGGGCATGTGTCTAGACTGGAAAGGGCAAGGAAGGCTTTCCAGCGAGGAAATGGTATGAGCTGAGAAAAAGACAAAGAGGCATCCAGGTGGAAAGACAAGTCAGGGGTTGTAAGAGGACACAGAATGTTTCCACTGTTCTGTTTCAATTCCAGCATTCTGTATGAATATTGAAGAATCAGTTTGAGGAACTAAAAGAAGTTCAGTGTGGGCTGGAAGGAAGTCTTCAAGAGGGATGGGCATGCATGGAGGGACATGAGGCCGTGGCTAGAGCAGTTGATAGGAGCCAGGTCAGAGAGGACTCTGTTGTGCCGAAGAGTTTGGAATTCATCCCAGAAGCCACCAAGGAGCCCCTGAAGGGTTTTAAATTAAAGGAGAAACAGCAGTTACCAAAAGTGGGCAAGTGAAACTATAAGATCTCAAATGGGAATTATTTACAGCAAGGTGGAGGAGGGACAGACCGAACCTCCTGGCAGCACCACACAATCTCAGTACAGTCTGGCTTCACTGGCAGAGCTTCATGGCCATGCCAGAAGGACACGTCTACCAGCAGGGAGAGGAAATGTGAACCCCTGGACAAATTTAGAGATATTCATTCAAGACATCATGTGGGGTTTTGTTTGTTTGTTTGTTTGTTTGCATTCTATTCCATGATATAGCCATTAGTTTTGTTTTAAGAGATTTTTGCTATAGAGTTCTCTTGAGCTCACCAAAGAGACAGAGAGAGACAGAGAGACAGAAAGCGAGAAATCACCCCCAGGGGGGATGGTCACGCCGCAATCCCTTCTCCTCCATTTTCCTCTTGGGATCTTGGGGAGGCACGCAAATGAGCCCAGCGTGAGTTTGAAGCCACCGGATCTAGACTCGAACTGCAGTGGCCCGTGGGAGTCCAGTGATTTAACCATTAAGCCATCTGCTGGTCCTGGCCAAGAGTGTTTTAATATACCAAAATGTTGATCCAGTTATCAAACAAAACGGACACTCCTCGATGAAAGGCCATGTTTACCCTGTGGCTTCAATAGTCCGGAACATTGACCTTCACACCCCGTTCTCTCAGAAGCAGTTTAACAAACGGCAGTAAGAGGGGACAAGGCTATGTGGAGGACAGACTAACGATGTCAGGTCTCCCCTTCTGCACCCTAGTAGCACACTGACTAAATATCCCCATTCCTCAGAATGCTCTTCCAGAGAGGTCAGCCTCTGAGCAACTCCCCAATCTGTGCAGCCTGCCCATTTCATAAAAGCCTCCTAGCCTCCCCCTGCCACCACCCTAAGCTGCACCCTAGCTTCCCACCAGAGATATTAGTACCTCTGCAGCAGCCCTGGCACACATCACCTCACAGGTAATTGTTTTGGACAGTATCTCCCAGCCTGTATTGTAAGGGGCTCTGAAAGAGAAGAGACTATTCCTTTTCTCTGCTGACCATTTGGTGCTTTAACCACATGTGCTAAGTAAAGTTTTACTGAACTAAATTGGATTAGCCTGATCCTTTCTTGTTGTTTTGCTAATCATTCTAAGTTCTATCTTTTTTTTTTTTTGGAGAGGTTTTTGCTATAGGGCGCGTGCGCTCGCCAGACAGACAGAGAGAGAGACATAGAGACAGAAAGCGAGAAATCACCCCCCAGGGGGGATGGTCACGCCACAATCCCTTCTCCTCCATTCTCCTCTCAGGATCTTGGGCACGCACGCACACGCGCCCGGCGTGAGATTTAAGCCACCGGGTCCGAGACGCGAACCGCGGTCGACTACGTGGGAGTCCAGCGACATAGCCATTACGCTAACTGCTGGTTCCCCTAATCATTCTAAGTTCTAAAGGAAAGGAAATGATCTAAGACTAAGTTAGAGATTTAAGGTTTATAGTCGATACCATCACATATATCAAATACCAAAGCATCAAATATCAAAGTATCAGTTATTCTGTGGGAAGCTAAACTAATTTTTGATCCTATGGAAGATATCATTTCCCTTTTTTTTTTCTAGTTTACCAGAGAGTGTGTGAACTTGCAGGAGATGGAGGGGGAGAAAGCACTTCCCTAATGCAGCATGGTCACACCACGTGTTTCTCAAGTCACTGGGGCCAGGCCTCAAACTGTGTGGTTGCACATGTGGCATCTGCTTCCCTTAATCATCAGGCCCTGGAGCCGGCCCTCTTTTTTTTTTTTTTTTGAGAGTTTTTTTGCTATAGGGCGCGTACGCTCGCCAGACAGACAGAGAGACAGAAAGCGAGAAATCACCCCCCTCCCAGGGGAGATGGCCACGCCGCAATCCATTCTCCTCTCAGGATCTTGGGCACACACGCACACGCACCTGGCATGAGTTTTAAGCCACCAGGTCCGGGACTTGAACCGCAGTAAACTACATGGGAGTCCAGCGACATAGCCATTACGCTAACTGCTGGTCCCTGGCCTTCTTTTTAAAAGCAGACACCAATAACTCAAACCTTGCTTGAGGAGATGGATAATGGTCCACCTGGCCTAGGAAATAGTCTGGCAGTTTTTGTTGTTAAAGATTTTTTACCATAGGGCACATGCACTGGCCAGAGAGACAGTGAGAGGGAAAGTGAGAAATCATCCCTGAGTTTGGCAGCTTTTTTAAAAAAAGTATTTATTTAATTTTATTTATTCACTAATTTATTTTAATTTGACCAGAGAAAGACACAGAGAAGGAAAGAGAGGGAAAGTGAGAAAGAAAGCCACCAGGTCCAGGACTCGAACCGTGGTCAGCCATGTGGGAGTGTCCAGCACCTCAACCACCATGCCACCTGCTGGTCCCTGGCAGCTTTTTAAAATAAAACTAGATATGCAATTATTACAAGACCTAGCACTTGTACTCTTAGGAACTTATTCCAAAGTTATGTTCATGTAAAAACCTGTATCTGAACCTGAACATTTATAGCTGCTTTATTCATAACAGAAATGAAACTGAAAACAACCGGGGCCAGCAGGTGGTGTAGTGGTTAAGGTACTGACTCCCATATGGCTGACCACGGTTCGAGTCCTGGACCTGGAGGGTTGAAAATCATGCTGGGTGGGGACCAGCAGTTAGCGTAATGGCTATGTCGCTGGACTCCCACGTGGTCAACCGCGGTTCGAGTCCCGGACCCGGTGGCTTAAACTCACGCCGGGCAC